ACTGCTTCCATCCTGCGACGAGATCTGTAATACCATCAAACATCCACATCTGCCTATCCCAGGTCCTTGGGAAGGACTCGATAGGTAGACAAAAATGCCAAATCCAGTCTGAACATCTGGCTGACTGTGCGATGATCCATAATAATAATAATAATAATAATAATAATAATAATAATAATAATAATAATAATAATAATAACAACAACAACAACAACAACAACAACAACAACAACTTGGAAGGACCTTGGAGGTCATCTAGTCCAACCCCCTGCTCAGGCAGGAAACCCTACACCATTTTGGACAAATGGCTGTCCAGTCTCTTCTTAAAAACTTCCAGTGTTGGAGCATTCACCGCTTCTGGAGGCAGGTTGTTCCACTGGTTAATTGTTCTAACTGTCAGGAAGTTTCTCCTTAGTTCTAGGTTGCTTCTCTCCTTGATGAGTTTCCATCCGTTGCTCCTTCTCCTGCCTTCAAGCGCTTTGGAGAATAGCTTGACTCCCTCTTCTTTGGGGCAGCCCCTGAGATACTGGAAGGCTGCTATCATGACCCCCCCTTGTCCTTCTCTTCACTAGACTAGCTATGCCCAGTTCTTCCAACCCTTCTTCAATCAGAATAGAACTGGAAGGTGCCTTGGAGGTCATCTAGTCCAACCCCCTGCTCAGGCTGGGAACCCTATCCCATTTCAGACAAGTGGCTGTCCAGTCTCTTCTTAAAAACCTCCAGTGTTGGAGCTTTCACCACTTCTGGAGGCAGGTTGTTCCACTGGTTAATTGTCCTCACTGTCAGGAAGTTTCTCCTTAATTCCAGGTTGCTTCTCTCCTTGATGAGTTTCCATCTGTTGCTTCTCGTTTTGCCTTCAGGCGCTTTGGAGAATAGCTTGACTCCCTCTTCTTTGGGGCAGCCCCTGAGATACTGGAAGACTGCTATCATGTCCCCCCTCGTCCCCCCTCGTCTTAACAGAATAACTGAGTAACAGAGTTGGAAGGGATCTTGAGATCATCTAGTCCAGCCCTCTGCAGAGGCGGGAGACCCTATACCATTTCAGACAAATTGATGTCCAATCTCTTCTTGGAAATCTCCCGTGGTGGAGCACCCACAACTTCTGAATTCCCCAGAATTCTGGGAATCGGAGTCCACAGGTCTTAAAAGTGGCCAAGTTTCAGAAACACACACTAAGAGGGGGGAAAAAAAACTTACACCCTTAAAAGCTGTAATTCTTTGCAGGACGGGGCAAGTTCTCCAAACACACACCTGGAGGCCAGGTATGGCTGTTGTTATCGGGTTACTAAGAAGGTTGGGAAAGAACAGCAAGGTGAACAGGAACCGGATCGGCTGGGAAAAAAAAAAAAGACTTTGGTAGACCATCTTGAGGTTACGCGTAAAGGAAAAAGGAGTGGTGCTTCCAGTGCAGAATGCAGGAACAAAATAGGATCTGTTATAAGCTGCTCTGAGTGCTTTGTAAGTCGAGGTTTCCTATAACACAGGTGGAGAGGATGACCGCACCACTCTAAAGCCACACCTGGAATTCTGCATCCAGTTTTGGCGGATGAAAACAGATGTTGAGACTCTGGAAAGAGGGCAGAGAAGAGCAACAAAGAGGATCAGGGGACTGGAGGCTAAAACATACAAGGAATTGGGTCTGTCTAATTTAATGAAGAGAAGGTCGAGGGGGGACATGATAGGAGCCTTCCAGTATCTCAGGGGCTGCCCCAAAGAAGAGGGAGTCAAGCTGTTCTCCAAAGCCCCTGAAGGCAGGACAAGAAGCAACAGAGGGAAACTCATCAAGGAGAGAAGCAACCTGGAATTAAGGAGAAGCTTCCTAACAGTGAGGACAATTAACCAGTGGAACAACCTGCCTCCAGAAGCAAGTAGTAGTAGTAGTACTTTTATGACTTGTGGACTTCAGCTCCCAGAATTCCCCAGTCAGCATGGATGGACTTACCCTAAAATTCCTGTCAGGCATGGATGGACGTCAACTCCCAGGATTCCCCAGTCAGCATAGAATAGAATAGAATAGAATAGAATAGAATAACAGAGTTGGAAGGGACCTTGGAGGTCATCTAGTCCATCCCCCAGCTCAGGCTGGGAACTCTACACCATTTCAGACAAATGGCTGTCCAGTCTCTTCTTAAAAACTTCCAGTGATGGAGCATTCACCGTTTCTGGAGGCAGGTGGTTCCATTGGTTAATTGTTCTCACTGTCAGGAAGTTTCTCCTTAGTTCTAGGTTGCTTCTCTCCTTGATTAGTTTCCATCCGTTGCTTCTTGTCCTGCCTTCAGATGCCTTGGAGAAGAGCTTGACTCCCTCTTCTTTGGGGCAGCCCCTGAGATATTGGAAGATGCTATCGGGTCCCCCCCGGGTCCTTCTCTTCCTTAATTTCCTTCTCTTTTGCTCCACCAGCATCGGCCCAAGAGCACGATGGCGGCTAACTACACGGAGACCTGGTTCCAGACGCTGGAGGTGATGCTGAAGGCCCTCAACCGTACCGTCTCCCGCGTGGAGCCCTGTCCTCGACTGAGCACGGCCGACGAGGAGGAGAAAGACAGCTACGCCTACATGTACATCCTTTTCATGATGCTCCTGTTCGCCCTGACCGTTGGCAGCCTGATACTCAGCTACACCCGGTCCCGAGAAGTGGACAAGCCGAGCGATCCTTACCACATGTACATCAAGAACCGGGTGACCATGATTTGAAGGAGGAGGAGGAGGAGGAGGGAAGGAGAAGGAGCCACGGACTCCTCCCTCCGTGCCTTTTGGGAACGAGGGGGAGCTCTTTTGCGGCGTGCGTCGAGTCTCAAACTCAGGGCTTGAGGAACGTCTGAGCAGGAACATTAAAATCGGGGGGGATTTGGAGAGCAGGGCCTGCAAAGAGGCCCAGCCTGAAATTTCCTGCCTTAAACTAACCATGTATAAAGTTTTAAAAACTTTCCTAACGGGAAACTTGATTGATCTGCCTGTTCCGATCAATAAACAAGTTTGGAAAGGTGGAAGGGTTCAAGGTATTTATTTATTTATTTATTTATTTATTTATTTATTTATTTATTTATTTATTTATTTCTGAGTTGCCGCAATCCCCACCTTTAAAAATTGGGGTGGGTGCTCTTTTTATACGATGAGATTGGGGGGGGGAGATGTTTCTCTCTCTCTCTGTCTCTCTCATGTACACACACCCCAAGATAATAATAATAATAGTAATAATAATAATAATAATAATAATAGTAGTAGTAGTAGTAATACTACTACTACTACTACTACTAATAATAATAATAATAATAATAATGAAGTTGAAAGAGACCTTGGAGGTCATATAGTCCAACCCCCTGCTCAGGCAGGAAACCCTACACCATTTCAGACCAATGGCTGTCCAGTCTCTTCTTACAAACTTCCAGTGTTGGTTGGCGCATTCACCGCTTCTGGAGGCAGGTGGTTCCACTGGTTAATTGTTCTAACTGTCAGGAAGTTTCTCCTTAGTTCCAGGTTGCTTCTCTCTTTGGTTAGTTTCCATCTGTTGCTTCTTCTCCTGCCTTCAGGGGCTTTGGAGAATAGCTTGACTCCCTCCTTTTTGGGGCAGCCCCTGAGATATTGGAAGACTGCTATCCTGTCCCCCCTCGTCCTTCTCTTCGTTAAACTAGACATTCCCAATTCCTGCAATTATTCATTATATGAATAATTATATATTCCTTGTATGTTTTAGCCTCCAGTCCCCTGATCATCTTTGTTGCTCTTCTCTGCACTCTTTCTAGAGTCTCACCATCTTTTTTACATCGTGACCAAAACTGGATGCAATATTCCAAGGCCTTGTAAAGTGGTATTAACCCTTCACCTGATCTTGATTCTATCCCTCTGTTAATGCAGCCCAGCACTGTGTTGGCCTTTTTGGCAGCTGCAGCACACGGCTGGCTCCTATTTAGGTGCTTGTCTACTAGGACTCCGAGATCCCTCTCACAGTTACTACTATTGAGCAAGGTACCCCCTATACTATACCTGTACATTTGGGTTTTTCTTGCCTAAATGTAGAACCTTACTTTTTTCACCCTTGAATTTCATTTTGTTAGATAGTGCCCAGTGTTCAAGTCTGTCCAGATCCTCCTGCATCCTAAGCCTGTAACTTCTGGAGTGTTGGCTATTCCTGACAGCTTGGTGTCGTCTGCAAATGCCTGAGCCCAAAATTTCTGTTCTTGAGCAGTTGTTATGTCAGTTGTGCCCCGTTTCACCATCTTTCCTGCCACCGTCGTGCTGATTTGCTTAATGACCGTGGCAGAGAACGTTGTAAAGCTAGCCACTGATCCATTTTACAACTGTCACACGTTACCCCCCAATGGTGGGCAGGCTCCATTACGGTCGTAACCTGAGGACTAATTGAAGAGCAGGGATTTTCAGACCGCAGAACCTGTTAGCTCAGGGGTGTTCAAACTTGGCCCTTTGATGACTTGTGGACTTCAACTCCCAGAATTCCTCAGCCAGTGTGCCTGGCTGAGGAATTCTGGGAGTTGAAGTCCAGGGGTTTCAAACTTGGCCCTTTTGTGACTTGTCGACTTCAACTCCCAGAATTCCTCAGCCAGCGTGCCAGGCTGAGGAATTCTGGGAGTTGGAAGTCCAGGGGTCTTCAAATTTGGCCTTGTGGACTTCAACTCCCAGAATTCCTCAGCCAGCGTGCCTGGCTGAGGAATTCTGGCAGTTGAAGTCCAGCCTGGCTGAGGAATTCTGGGAGTTGAAGTCCACAAGTCATCAAAGGGCCATGTTTGAAGACCCCTGTGTTAGCTAGGTAAAAATGAGATTGCCAGATTGGTGAGCAAGGGACAAAGTGCCTTAATAATAATAATAATAAACAGTCTGCATTCAGATGCACTTTTTAATTTTTTTTTGTAATATCTCACAGAACCCGATCAAGTTCTTGCGTTCCTCAGCCTGCATGTTGGAAAACTCTAGAAAACAGGGGACTCATAAATCTACCTGCTTTAAAACTTTCCCCCATGCCTGGATCAAAGAAAAGAACAGCCCAACTGATTTATGCATCTTGGGAACCAACTCAAAAGTAAATTTATTCCAGAAGTTGGCAGCTAGTTGATTGCCATTGTGCTTTTCCTTCTGTTTCTTTTGATGTTTCAAAGGTTGTCACTGACAGTTGCCTGGAGGATGGAATTGATTTATTCCAAATTGAATGAATGAAGAAATAAATTTTGGGGATAAAGAGAAGGGGAGAGAACTATAATCGGCCAGTGATTCCTGTCTGCAAAAGAGCAGGATTAAAAAAACTAGCAAATTTTGCAAAAGGCCCATCTAAGCAGCTGCAATCCGTGAATACTTTTGAAATCTTTATTTATAGGGTATTCTTCTGAATTCTTCTGGGTTTTCTGTCACATATTATTAAGGTTTTGCAGTCTTGGTTGGATCAGTTCTTCAGGAGCTGCTTCTAGTTAAAAGGAAAAAAGAGAGAGAGAAATTATATACATACATACATACATACATACATACATACATACATACATACATACATACACACACACACACACACACACACACACACCTACATACATATATATAGAAACTTCCTGACAGTTATAACAATTAACCAGTGGAACAATCTGCCTCCAGAAGCTGTGAATGCTCCAACACTGGAAGTTTTTAAGAAGAGACTGGACAGCCATTTGTCTGAAATGGTATAGGGTTTCCTGCCTGAGCAGGGGGTTGGACTAGATGACCTTGTAGTAAGCAAGTTGGGCTTTTTAAGTCGATTATGTAATATTTATTCAATATTTTATTTATTGAACTATCTCATTGATGGCCAAATTTTGATTATAATCATAACTTAATTTATAATAATAATAATAATAATAATAATAATAATAATAATAATAATAATAATAATAATAATAATAATAATAAGTTGGAAGGGACCTTGGAGGTCATCTAGTCCAACCCCATGCTCAGGAAGCAAATCCTATACCATTTCGGACAAATGGCTGTCCAGTCTCTTCTTAAAAACTTCCAGTGTTGGAGCATCCAGAGCTTCTGGAGGCAGGTTGTTCCACTGGTTAATTGTTCTCTCTGTCAGGAAGTTTCTCCTTAGTTCCAGGTTGCTTCTCTCCTTGATTAGTTTCCATCCGTTGCTTCTTGTCCTGCCTTCTGGTGCTTTGGAGAATAGCTTGACTCCCTCTTCTTTGGGGCAGACCCTGAGATACTGGAAGACTGCTATCCTGTCCCCCCTCGTCCTTCTCTTCATTAAACCAGACATACCCAATTTGACAAAGGCCCCAATTTGGGACCTTTGGCTGGAAAACAGAATGAAGGGATGAATATTTGTTTCGTAGCAAACAAATAAGAAATAAAAAGAGTTGTAAATGTCTATGGAGACTCTCATTCCTCCAGGTCATGATTATCCCAAAAGTGCCTTTTTTTTCTCCCACGAGGCAACTGGACTTTTTTGTTATTTTTCTTTCTTTTCTTTCTCATCCAAAGAAGCTTCTTCAGCTCTGATTGGATGGTGGGGAATGGAAGGATTTATATCCTGTTGCAGACAGCTGGTCACTTGCATCCTTTTAGAGAGTTTGGAGATTTACCCGTGTCCTCAGGGTCAGCTGAGTGGTGCAAATGGGTGTGGAGCCTTCTTGGAACTGCTGAAAGGACCGTGTTGTAAACAGAGATAGGTGGTGGTGTATCCCTCCCCCAACATACGTGCACACTGTAAACCCACGAATACACTAAGGCAGAAGCTTGTCCACCCCACGGACAGAACGGACAGACAAAACTGAGCAACGTGGTGTAGGCAGTACAATGCAGCGAGCCCCGTGCAGATCTGCACATTGGGGAAACGAAACAAGCACTTCACAAACGCAGGGTGCAGCATAGGAGAACAAACCCATCAGGACGAGATTCGACAGTCCATCTGCCTTTAAAAGACAAAGGCCACTTTTTTGAGGACAGCAAAGTCCACATTTTGGACAGAGAGGACCGCTGGTTTGAAAGAGGGGTCCAAGAGGCCATCTAGGTCAAAATTGAGTAGCCCTCTCTCAGTGGGGGAGGGGATGGATAGGACATTATCTATCTCCAGTCTACAACACGGTCCTTTTCAGCAGTTCCAAGGAGGCTCCACACCCATTTGCACCACTCAGGTGACCCTGAGGACACAGGTAAGCCTCCGGGTGGCCTCAACGACTCTCTAAAAGAAGGCAAATGACCAGCTATCTGCAAGGAGTATAAATCCTGCCATTCCCCACCATCCAGTCGGAACCTGAAGAAGCTTCTTGGGATGAGAAGCGAAACGTCTTCAAAGACAAAACAAGAAAACTCAGTTGCCTCCTGAAAAAAAAAGGCACTTTTGGGAAAAAGAGTTGTAGCTTTTATAACCACTAGATGCTGTTCTGGGATTGGCCACACGAGGGCAGCAATGCCTAATTTTATTATTTTTCAGAGATTTTTGTTTGTATGTGTTTAGAATAGAATAGAATAGAAATTAGAATAGAATAGAAAATATGGAATAGAATAGAATAGAAATAAGAATACAATAGAATAGAAAATATAGAATAGAACAGAATAGAATAGAAATACAGAATAGAATAGAATAGAATAGAAATACAGAATAGAATAGAATAGAATAGAAATACAGAATAGAATAGAATAGAATAGAATAGAATAGAATAGAATAGAATAGAAATACAGAATAGAATAGAATAGAATAGAATAGAATAGAATAGAATAGA